CTTGAAAAATAAAAAAGAGCCTTGTGTATTGAAAAATTTTTAAAATTATTTTACTACTTTAGTAATATTTAAGAGAAGGTTTCTCACTTAAGAATCTCTTAAGAATCACTACTCAAACTTTTCAAAAATTTCATTATTGATGATTTATATTTATTTTCAAAATCAATATTTATAATATATATAATAAAAGGATACTCATAATTTAACTCAAATAATATTTTCTTTTTATAAAAATTCATTTCTTACCTTTTTATTAAATAAAAGGTAAACAACAAATCTTTATTGAAAAATATTCTAAATGCCCCAATACCTTGGTTGTATTTTAGAAAACTATTTTCACCTGAAAACTATTAAAGAATCACTATTCAAACTTCTTTAAACTCTCATCATCAGAGATTTTCGTTTATTTTCAAAATTAGCATGTATGCAAAAAATATGATGCTCATGAATCAACTTGTAATACTTTTGTATCATATAAAAATTAAATTTTTAGTAAATAAAACTAAATGAGAATTTTTTTTATATTGAAAATTATTCTAAACACTCCAATATTTTGGTAGTATTCTAGAAAATTTTTCTCGCTTAGGATCTCTTGAGAATTACTACTTGAACTTCTTAAAAATCTTATTTTCAAAAATTAATGTTATTTTCAAGGTTGTGTGTGTATGAAACGCAAATAATAGAATGTGATATGTGTGCAAAAAATTTTTTATCTTAATAATCTTACTTATTTTCCTTATAATATATGGTCTATGCCTTAAATTCTTTTTGTTCGTTATTTATTTTATTTAATTTATCTTTGTTTTAATTATCTAATTGTTTTATTTTTATGTCACTTTGTCTAATTGTTTTATTTTTATTTTCTTTTTAAAAAAACAAAAAAAATCTTTTTTAGTGAAAGTTTTTCTAGACTTTCCAATAATTTGATAGCATTTTAAAAGAATTCTCTTGCCTAGGGATTTCTTCACTATTTGGATTTTCTTAGAATCTCATTATTGGAGATTTTCATTTTTGTTTCCTCCATTTAAAAAAAAAATAAAAGTAATTAATTACTACCAATAATATTTATACATTATAATTTTATTACTAAAACAGACTCATTTATTCTTTCATCATTTTTTATTTATTTTATTTTATTTTATTATTTTATATTTTTTTGGGAAAATAAGTAAAAAAAATTTTTTTATATTGAATATTTTTCTAAATACTCAATTTATTTAGTAGTGTTTTAAAATAATCATCACCTAGAAATTTTAAAGAATCACTACTCAGACTTCTTTAATATTTCATCATGGGAAAGATTTTCATTGTTTATTTTTCTTTATATTTTTATTATATATATCTTATTATTTTTTAATTTACTAACTTTTTTTTTGTAAACACCAATTTTTTTCCTTAAATAATTTTATTCTAGGGATTTAAAACATAAATAGATAAATAAATAAATAATTTGAAAGTTAAAAAATTAAAAAATAAAAGAAATTACCCAAAACGGGCCGTCAATGTTGGTTAATGGTTCAAAGGGCAATTTAGCTAGTTGGCATGGTCTAGAGCGATTTTCCACAGTCTGAAGCAATTTTATACTAGTTTGAGCCAGGTTAGATCGATTCAATAGTGATTCGATTTGGACCAATTTTGACTTTGGTTTTATGCTGGTTTTAGGTTAGCGAGTAGGTCTCTAGCCTCTAAAATGCACTATTTTCATTCTTTTTTTTTTTGTGTATGTGTGTGTTTTTAATAAAAGCTAAAGTTTTTTTTTTCAAAACATTTTAACCCATTATTCCTAAAAAATGCTTTTTATCAGTTTTTAGAAAATCAGCCTTCCTTTTTCTAGATTCCTACAATTGGTTGCCATTCGTAATCATTATCTTCGCTACCAACTATCACTTGTCGATGCCAACTTGAGCTAGAAATTTAACTAGAAACTTTTTTTAATCCTTTTTTCTCTGTTCTCTAGCTAGATTTCTAAAAAATCTACCAAAAATTCCCAAATATGAGTTAGAAAAGTATGAGTTTGAACTAAAAAATCTCTGTCATCCATTACTCCTATAATTGTCATTTTAAATTATGCTATTCTCCAAGTCAAAACCTTTTTCCTTACTAGAAATCTAACCCTGAAACTCTTTGGAATCTCTAAACCCAAAAACCAAAAACTTTTTTCCTTTTTTTTTATTCTAATGAAATATATTTGTTTTTGGTTTGTTATTGTTGCTTCCCTTATGAGGAATGAGTTTGATTTTGCTATTGTTTATTATTTTTTTTCTAGGTGTTGTGGGTCCCAAATGGTTTTTTTGTTGTTGTTTCTTTGGGTCTATCATGGTAGTATATGACTACAAGCGATGGGGGTGTTTGGTGAATGGTGTGGGACTTTGTAATGGTGTTGGCTTTGTGGTGGTTAAGGGTTGGTGAGGTGGTGGCTAAGTTATGGTGCAAGTGAATGAGGCTGTGATTAGTGATAGTAAAGTAGTTTGGTGAGTTGTTAAAGATTGCTAGGTAGTTCTGTGGAGATTGGGAAAGGCTAGGTTCGGCTAGATATCTCTCTTTTTTTCTTTTTTTTCCTTTTCAACATATCAACCCTTTGGTTCTTATAGTTCTTGCTAGCCCTTAGAAAATCTTTTTTTTTTTTTTAAACTTCAAATTCACCTTTGGTAATTGCAATTTTGGAGTGTTCATGCAGAGATGTATCAATGAATGCTTAAAAAATTTTTGGGTGGAAGAGAAAGATGTTAAAATTGCTGTACCTAGGATAGTAGAGCTCCCTGGCTTAATGAATTTTGATAAAATGATGATAGAGTTCATAGGTAAAATTATAAGGTGAAATCAGGGGAATAGGGAGACAATTTGGAATGAGAAGTTTTTGGGGCAGCTTAAGCTTCATGCTTTTCCTTTTCCATTGTCTGACTTTTTCTATAGAAACTTTTGCCTTTTTCAGCATTTGAGAAAGATGGCAAAAACTATTCATCAAGCTTAATTTTATTTTGGGCCTTCCAACCCATCTAGCCCATAATCATGAATCAAGTCAACATTTGATCTATGAAGAGCCTAGACAAATAAGCCTAAAAAATGGATCCAATGGAAACTGACATAAAACTCGAACTAAAATATCAAATTAAACTGCGTAATTAAACTAAAATCAATAACTCAACATAAAATTGGACATAATCGTATTTACATTATTTAAAGATGATTTGCAATTATTTCAAACAAAATGGGTGTCTACAATGCGTATGTAACATATTTTTGCTTCCAAGAACTTAGTTAAAGTGATATGAAAAGTTATTATTCTTTTGTCATAGTTAAATGGAGCAGTGATAGAGCCAACATTAGACCATTTACCAAGTGTTATGAACATGGTATTAGTGAGGTTAGGTATTATATTAATTATATAAACATTAATAAAATTAAATGTAAATATAATGGTAGAAGTGAGATAAAATATAATTAAAAAATGATCATTAAAAATTTAAATTAAATAAAACATATTATTTAGATAAAATTTTATTTAATAAATAGTGATACAATATTTTATATTAAAATAATTACTTATATTTCTAGGTAAAGGAATTGGGGAAGAATTTATATGAATTTCTTTAGGTGAAATTTGTAAAGTTTTTTTTTATTAAAAATGATTTAATAAAAATGTAATAAAAATATAAATATATAAATTGATAGAATTTAATGAGAATATCAATAATATGTAAAAAAAATTGAAAATGCCATTTTCAGTTAAATTTGAATAGTGCTTATTTAACGATAAAACTTTTGTCAAAATTTTTACTACAAATGTCTATATAAAAAACATTTAAAATTTTTTTAAAAATTTTTAAAATTTTGCATACTTAATTTATGTAATAAAAACTTTCAAAATATTAGTTTCAATTTTTTATTTTAATTTTTATTTAATCAATTTTAATAAAAAAAAACTTTATGAACTTGACCTAATAAACTTCATGAAGTATTTTCCAAAGAATCGAGTGCCCAATCAAATTTAAATTTTGTACTATAGTTTTTAGGGAGGCAATCGATGCTTATTGAAAAGACAATTGAATTTTTTAAATTTATTTTTAATTATGTCTATCACTTTTGAAGAAAATAATCCCCTGAAAGACAGTCGAATGTCTTATGAATAAAATGAGAGAAGAAATATCCATGCTCTACTAGACCCTCTCCCCTCCAATGAAAAAATGGAACACAACACAGTAGGAAGGAAAAGACTTAAATGAATTTTTTAAGATAAAATTAGTAAAGTTTTTAATTAAAAATAATTAAATAAAATTAAAATAAAAAATTAAAATTAATAAATTGAAAGATTTTGTTTCAAAGATTAAGTTTGTAAAATTTGAAAAAATTTTAATAAATTTTGATATATATTTTTAAATATATATTTTTAATAAAAATATTAATAAAATTTTTACTGTTAATTAATATAAATCAAATTCAAATTATAAATAATATTTTTAATAATTTTTTATATATTATTAATTTTTACATTAAATAATATGATTTAAATTTCTTATTAAAGTTTTTATTAAATGACTCTACTGTGAATAATTGAGGACGATTGGGCAAAAAATTATATCCAATTGCATCGTACCGGGAAACGGTTTGAATCTAAACGGACCCTTGGAATAATTTGTTTAAGTTGACTTGTACATGGAGCAAGTGTTCTACAGCAGTTCACATCACAAAAGCATCACCGAAAAATATAAAGAAAAAATCTGTACCAGGCAGAAGTAGTAGGCGAAGCTAGCTAGTTTCCAGCATAAGTACACACCTGAAAATTATATCCTTTAACGCGGTTTAGAATTTAAAATCTTTAACTTCTAATTGAGGGTATATCGAAGAAACGATCATTACTTCGTGTGCACTTTTAGCAACTTTTTTCTTTGTTTTCATATTTTATAATTAAGCAAAATTCATGTAAATGCCACACATTTTCCTACGGTGTGAATAACTTACTTATTCCAAATTTTTAGAAAAAAAAATAAAATAAAGCAAAGATACATAAATACTTGTTGGACCCTCTTTGAGACCTTTGTTCTATTCACAACGACCAACGTTAAATTAACCGCAGAAACACCCAAATGAAATTTACCGATAACCAAAACCTTAGCTCCTATTAACAATTGGAATGTGAGGTCGCACAATATCCATGTTTTCCTCGAGTTTTTTATTATTATTTTTTAAGATTTAATGTTTTATTGTGTTTCCCCAACTCTAACTTTAAACAAACGTAATAAGCATTAGCCATTAAGCATCTCGCTCAAGCTTAGTCTATAAATAGCTCATTCAAGTAGGCTGGAGACCAAAACAACCGTAGGTGATCACAGTGGAGAGTTTTTATTTGTTGAAGTGCTTGAGAAATGAAACCAAATATGGGTTTAATCTCTGGGAGTTTAGGGTTTATTTTACTTAGTACTCTGCTTTTCAGCAAGGTTCAGGGTGCTGTTCGTAACTATTACTGGGTTGTAAGTATTATTGTTGTTAAGTTCGGATCAAAGCAAAGTCATAGAAACCAATAAAAACGTTGGGTTTAATGATCTTTCGGGGAATAATATTTGCAGGTGAAGGAGACTAATTTTACAAAGCTGTGTACCACATCCACTGTTCTTACTGTAAACAACAGTTTTCCAGGGCCGGAGATTCATGCCAAGAAAGGTGATACCGTTTTTGTCACTGTCCAGAATGCCGGGCCATATGGTATCTCTATTCATTGGTATATTGGTGTTTTCTCTCAGTCTCTTTAAGATTAATTTCTCAGGAAAACTGATGATGTTTAGATTAAAAAACAGAAAAAAGAATCATACCAATTCAGAAAATTTTGATATTTGCAGGCATGGAGTTAGACAGCCGAGGAATCCATGGTCAGATGGTCCAGAGTACATTACACAATGCCCAATTAAGCCTGGAGGAAATTTCACACAGGAGATCAACTTGTCTACGGAGGAAGGAACACTCTGGTGGCATGCCCATAGTGACTGGTCGCGCGCCACGGTTCATGGTGCCATCAAAGTTTTTCCGGCCAATGGAACCAGTTATCCGTTCGATAAGCCTGATGGAGACCAAACAATTGTATTCTGTAGGTGTACCACTGATTATCAGCGTGAAAATATTCAAAGCATGCTGATAAGTTCAAATGAAAAGTTTTCTCCCTATTAATTCTGTTTCTGACAGATTTGGTGTGTGTTAAATATTGTTAATCAACCACTTTTTCTTGGTGGCAGCCTCGTGGTACAAATCAGATGTGATGGACGTGTTAGACGAAGCTCTCACAAGTGGCGGTGATCCAAACGTTTCAGATGCTTACACCATCAACGGTGAACCTGGAGACTTGTACGACTGCTCTAATGGTATATAAATAAAAAGAATCATACATTTTTCTTTCTTATGTCCATAAATTGATTAAATTCCTTTTTTGAGTCCTCACCAACAACGGTTATCTATGTTTTTGAGTCCTCACCAGTCATTACTAGTATAATTTTGAACATGAAACTATGCCGGTGAATTAGGGGAGAAATAAAGAGATATTTTGTAGAACCCAAAGAATTAAGCTCAGTTTAATTTTGTTAGTTTATATAATTACACATAAGATATGATATTTAATAATTTTGAAATTTAAATTTCAATAATATATTTTTTTAATTTCTGTCTCTCTTATAAAAAGAAAATACTTGATCCTAGAACGCTGTACACTGTACCTTCCACAACTGGCTGGTTATTGTCAAGCTAATGGGTCGTTGGCAAATGACTAATGCATTTGACTAAAGAAAAATCAGCTTACGGTAAACAGGTTTACGTGTTGTGTTACAGATACTTGTTGGATTCCCAATTCTAGTGATATAGACTCCAATTACCTAATTCTAAGACTTTTGTCGGGTAGCAATTTTGGTCAAAGCTAGATTCATACCTGTAACTCTCTGCTTTCCCATCAAGATTTTGACTTGTAGAAGTTAATTCAAGTTCATAAGGCCTCTACCTAACGTTCAACTTGATGCCAATATGATTCATGTGGTTGCAGAAACAATGTACAGCTTGTTGGTTGAGACTGGCAAGACTTATCTCCTCCGCATCGTCAACTCAATCCTGAATGAAGAAATGTTCTTCGCGATTGCGAACCACAACTTGACCGTAGTTGGGTCGGATGGAGCATATGTCAAACCCTTTTCCACTGATTATTTGTTCATCACCCCTGGCCAAACCATGGACGTTTTGGTTACTGCAAACCAAGCAGCAAGTTACTACTACATGGTTCTAACTCCTTTTCTTGATACCGATTCTTCTTATGACAACACCACCTCTAGGGCACTTATCAAATATAGGGGAAATTATACAGCTCCAACCTCAATTCCTACTCCAACATTTCCTAATATTAGTGACTCAATATCGGCACAACTCTTCGTTGTTCGATTGAAGAGTTTAGCAGATGCAGCTCACCCAATCCATGTCCCCAAAAACATCACTAAACAAATCTTCATGACAGTATCAGTCAATCTATTCGCTTGCCCCAATTCTACGGGTTGTACAGTTGACGGCAATAACAAGCTGGCAGCAAGCTTAAACAACAATAGTTTTGTGATGCCATCAACCTCTCTGCTACAAGAATATTATGACAATAACTATAATGTGAGCCATATTGCTGATGAGTTCCCGAACAAGCCGCCTACTCCTTTTAACTACACAACAGTGGCGGACATGTCTGCATACACAAGCGAAGGAACGCGGCTGATAACATTTAATTATGGTGACGAAGTGGAAATTGTATTCCAAGGAACAAATATCGGAGCCACACAGAATCATCCCATGCATCTTCATGGATACAGCTTTTATTTGGTCGGAACAGGTTCCTCGGATTTTGACAATGGCACTGATCCTGGCAGGTTTAATTTGGTTGATCCACCAGAGGTCAACACCGTTGCAGTCCCCAGAAAAGGATGGACTGCTATTAGATTCAAGGCTGATAATCCTGGTACATATATATCGTAATTACATGTATAACATATTTTATTTATGCACAAATTACCCAATGTTCATATTTGTTTTACTTTTGAATCAGGGGTTTGGTTTATGCACTGCCATTTCGAGAGACACACGACTTGGGGAATGAGCACTGTTGTCATAGTGAAGGATGGAGGCACCAACGAAACAAGCATGCGTCCACCACCCTCATATATGCCTCCTTGTTCTTAATTTTACATCACTTTAATGCTTAGGGGTTGTTCAACATATCAAAGTGTAGGACTTGATAAAGTCAGCGAGACTATGAAATAAAATTTTCTGAGGGATGGAATGATGATGATGCTTCATTTTTCTCCTTGTTACGTTTTGGTTTTGTAACATGTGTGAGGTGATGTAGCTGTTTATTTTTACTGGGGGAATCATTTTGTTGTACCTTAAAGTTGTTTGGACTGTGCCTTACGTATGTAGTCTCATCCGTTATGAGCAATTTACTTTTCTTTTTTCTAGAGAAAGAGAGATTTCAATTTGGGTTATCAAATAATTTGATCTTTAAATTATATTATTTTTATCATTTAATTTTTATTTTATCATATTATTTAATTTAAATATTAATTTTATTAATAATATATTGACAGAACAAAAAATTAATCAATAAAATTATGATTCGAAATATATTTTTATTGATTAATATTTATCATGTTATTATTTTATTTAATACTATTATTAAATGATGTAAAGTGTTTATCAAAGGAAAATTAAAATATTAAATCATGAATTTTTTTCTATAAGCATCAAGTAATAAAAAGTGATAAAATTTAAAAAATAAATTTACACATTTACCCTTTCAGTTTAACACTTTTTACTACTTGATCTTAACACAGTGAAAATCATTTAACTAGCTTAAACTCGAATGTTACTTAAAATTTGGGGTACAACTCATGAACTAAACTCCACCTAACAAAAAAAAATCAACTGGGAATTAAATGATTTAAAAGTTTTTATTCCACTAGTCCAGCTTTTGTTTTCCAATTGATCTTTGTCTTTTTTTTTTTTTCTTCGAAATATTTGTCTTTGATTTATGCACGCGGTTGCCCATGCAGGGCAGGCATGCAATGAAGTACTATAAAAAACTAGAAAATAGAGAGCAACTTCTTGTCGTTTAGTACTACAAAGTAAAAATAAAGTGGGACATGACCTTATGGAATGGAATAATTTTCGTGTTAATTATTGATTTCACTTGACCTTTTGTTGATGACCAATAGTAAGTAGGGACGGTTTTGCCTTTGATCAAGCCGTATGTTGTTTAGTTAAAGTGGAATTGAACTCGCTGCGATTTGAATTTGGTCATGACCTTATGGAATGGAATAATTTTCGTGTTAATTATTGATTTCACTTGACCTTTTGTTGATGACCAATGGTAAGTAGGGACGGTTTTGCCTTTGATCAAGCCGTATGTTGTTTTGTTAAGGCACCATTTTCGCTATGCGTTACAGGGTATGTCCACAATAAGTTTTCATTTATCACCTTGCCATATATGGTCCTCATGCGTTGTAAAGTATCTTGTTTAAAGAATTATCTTTGTTTGAGAATAAAATTATTGCATATATTATCAAAATATATGTTTTTTTAAGGTGTTTTCAAGTTTCTTTTACAAAGTGTAAAGTTTTGAAATCATGTGGTTTGCATTTGTAATGAATAAATGAAATTTAAAAGTATAAAAATAAATTTAAAATGAAATTAGCAAGAACACTCGACTGCTCTTTTGGTGGCGATCACTGCTTTTATTTTGGTCAAATTATGTAACATATATCTATATTTTAGTTAAATATGATGGAATTAATTTCTCTATCTTGGATCTCTATATTTTATTTAATAATCGAATTTAGTTAAATTGATAATGATTTAAATTTTTTTGTTAAAATTAATGATGCGACATTTTGCTTATGTTGTCATTGACTTTGCTTACGTGTAAAATCTACATAGTAAAAGATGATAATGTGACAAAATATTTTAATATGTCATTATTTTTTCACGCTAACTTTTCTCAAATTGTATGGTTCGTTCCTGTACTTTAGTTAAATAGTAAAATTAGTCATTTTATCTTAATGTGTGTTTAAATTTGATCCATATACATTAATTAATTATCAAATTTAAGATTTTATATAAAATAAGTAAAAGAAAACTAAAATAAAAGACAAAAAAAACTTTTAATGCAAATAGGTTGAATCATAAATAGAGTCAATATATGGACAACACACAAGTTGCATCAGATCCATCTTTTAAAACGACGTCTTTTTAAATTGTTATAAAAAAAAACAATTTAAAAATTTTTCTTTTTACTCCTCTCTCATCCTTGTTTTCCTCTTACTTATCTTTACAAGTGTCACTTAACAAACACATATTTCAATAGAGTTTTTAAAAACTAGTGATTAAAAAAGTCAATGATCGTAAAAAAATTTATCTAAAAAACCCAAAAATCATTAATACCCAAAAATCGATTGCTATTGAATTCTTAAAATTTTTCTAAATCAATCTAATTTCCAAAAAATTTTCATATTTTCCTTATTTTTCAATTTTCAATTTCCTTTTTTTCTTTTTTTTTTTGTGACTTTGACTTCTTGACTTTCACTAACTAAATAATAAAAATAAATAAATAATAAATAAAATACTTTTAGGCTTATAAATTTGGGCTTAAAATCCAATTTTACAATTAAACCTAATTGATCCAAAAACGATTTTAGAATCCAATATCGAGATAAAATTCAAAGCCCATTTAATATCATAAAATTTTTTAATAAAATAGAATGTCTACAATTGCTTTTGTTGCTGATTGTGTATTTAGGTTTATTGATTATGAGTTTTTTTATCTAACTTTTACATTTCTATCATTTTAAAAGTTTTTTATTTTTTTATGTATTTTTTATATTTCAAAAATATAAAAATAAAAATTAACAAAAAATGGAAAAATAAATAAATAAAAGATAAAAATATATATAATTTAGTTTATGTTGGGTTTATAATATAATTTGAAATTAACCCAATTTATCAAATTAAATTCAATTAAAAATTCAAATATCCAAAAAAATTTATATAAATACGAAAAAAAAATACAGTCGAATTAATAATGTATGTCTTATATGCTATTTCAGATCAAATCTTAAATTCGATAATTAATTTATATATAGGAATCAAATTTGAACACGCATTAAAATAGAATGACTAATTCTACCATTCAACCAAATTATAGGGATGAGCCGTATAATTTAAGAAAAGCCAACATGAAAAAATAATGACGTGTTAAAAAATTTTTGACATATTATCATCTTTGATCGCGTGTAAAGAACTTTACACGTTAGTAAAGTCAATGAAGTCAATGGCCACATTAGCAAAAATATCCTATCAAAAAAGTCAAAAGGTCACGTTATCACTTTTAATAGACAAAATTTGAATCATTAACAATTTGATTAAATTTAAAAATTAAATGAAATATAAAGATCTAATTTAAACACACTAAAGAAATGGATTAATTCCACCATTTAGCTAAAGTAGAGATATTTATTGTACAGTTTGACCTTTTGTTTTTCAATTTCTGTATAAAATTTTGCTTGAGGCATTCACATACCTTAAAGAGGTTAGTTAAATGTCCTGCAAGATTTTAAATTCTACGTGAAAGACTTGCTTATGACATTCTAATGCCATAGCACAGGAATTCGAATTAATTTGTTGGAAACTGAAAAAACTTATCTGTTAGACATGATATTTAATTAAAAATATTAATTTTCATCTAAATTATGTTTATTCATAAAAAAAAATTTCAAACACTAATTGAATCTTATAAATAATTTTATTAACGTTCATTTAATATAACTTTACAAACCTTCACGTTGAAATACAAATTCATGTGAAATGGAAAAAGCCTAAAGATTCCTATTTCCTTATTACCTGGATATTGACGTAGTTAGCTGTAGCCAATGTCACACGAGAACCTACTTTGGAAGTTTACCTAACTTGCCCTTGGGATTTGATGTTTTTATTTTACTAACATTGACTGGCAAATGTAGAAGGCCCGTTGCCATCTTGTCATTGAGATGTTTGTTATTGATAGCAACTAGGTCATTTTATATTGACGTTGAATTAGATTTGTTTATTTCTTACATGTGATATTGAGCTATGCATAAGAGGTATTTCATTCTGTAAATCTTATTTTGTTCAACTCAACGTTTGAATTTATGATTTTATCTTTAATTGTTGAAATGTTCATTCAAAATTTAAAAAATTAAATCACATAGTAGATTTCTATTGGTTAAAAAAAAAAAAACTTTTGCTCTCCACATTTAAGTTTTGCTTAGTTAAAAATAAAAAAAAATTAATTTAATGATTGGATTTCATAATGACTTTTTCTTTTTCCTTTTTTTTTACTTCGTAACTTAACAAATAGAGTAACAAAATTTTCATTATTATTGTTTTTCATCATTCCCACATTTTTTAGCAGATTCCAACTTTGCATTCTGAAAAGGCGAAAGCTTGAATGGACACAAATTTGTCAATAGTAATAGTAATTGTTATGATTTCAGATTTCAGATTGAAATCTAAGTACAAGTCTAGTCCAAAGGGTTTGGGCTTGGGAAGGTAATCTTGATCCATAGACACCCCAACCATAAAGAAAAGAGAAAGGGATTTTTTGGTTTTTTTTTTTAAGAAGAAGAAGAAAGGATTTTGTAAATCATTTTTTTTTATTATTGGAGGAGGAACAATATTGTTAGGAGCTACTTGTCGCCACATCGATGCTTGATTTCATATATATTTTTTTCCAACTGAAATTTTTTGACGATTAATCACTAGTATATGAGAAAAGGGTCAAAATCCCTAAGGCAAATGCATATTATTCACTTGCATGGATAATTATAGCCACCCAAACACTTGGAAAAAAAAAACTGCTTAAGCAATAAAACCTGTTCGATCCTAATGCTTTGAATTTTTGTCACAGCAAAATGGCCTGCAAGTGAAAAATTAAGTGCATCTGAGTAGAATCTAGTGGAATTCGACTCAATTTTGGCAGTTTTTGTTAGCTTATTTTTGAACTTGTGGTGGAACTTTATTGTTCCTTTTGCTAGTTTTTAACTAGTCTTGTAATATTTTGATTGCTTAATAAAATCTTGGTTTAGAAAAGGAAAAAAAAAGTATTCAGTTAGGTTTATGGTTTTAGGTAAAGATAACTTTGAAATAAATATTTAATATCTATTTGAAAGTTAAAAAGTTTATCCTTATCTTTTTAAAATCTAACATAATCCATCAATATTTTCACAATGTTTGTGATATAATGGTAATTGTTTTTGTGATAGAAAGAGTTTACAAATGATCCTTAATCTAGGTGATCAGAAAATATAACTTATAGTATCCATCTAGCATGGTCACTTGAAACTAAAAGATTTGAAGGGTTCTACTTTATTGGAATGGTTATGGCTGGAGTTATGTTTTTCATTTCTGTTACTTAATCTTTGTATATTTTATAAATATTAAAAGA